ATCTTTTTTTTTTTTCGTTTGGGGGAAAACTAAAACTGGTCGCAATTTTCGAATAAGAATGAGTCGGCAATTTTTAGTGGAGTCGAAAATTTGGAGGTAAATAAAACACCGAAACCCGGCAAATAAATAGGCCGTCGAATTTTTAGAGGGGTCGAAATTTTGGAGTTTTCACGGTACTAATTATTCCATTTCAATGAAACTTAGTACAAAGATGCTCTAGGACAATGTACAAACCTAATTAGTTTGGGGTAAAAATCTGTTCATATTAATTCCCTAATAAGCATAATAATTCATAATTTTTTGGTTCTAATCACATTTCAATTAAACTTGGAGACATAGATTTTCTGTTACATTGCGCAGACCTCATTAGTTTTACACTCAAATCTGGTCATATTAATTTTCTGATTTGCATAATTAGTTTTCAGCTAAGTAATTTCGAATTATATTTAATGTGTCTCCAATACTCTCGGCACATGGGAGTTCTTTCTAAGCTTTCTTTGATTTTTTGAGAATGTTTTTGTAATTTTTTATGAAAATGCTTTTTCAACTTCTTTTTGAAAACTCCAACTCAATTTGCTTTGGTACTTGGTATGCATGTGCATGTACCTTGGATAGACCTTATTTAGGTTTGTATATTCTATGACATCTTCAATTCTGTAATTTCAGCAAATATTTTTGACATTTTTGATTTGACTTCTTCTTCTGCTAGTTTGATTGATTTGATACGCAAGGTACCGGTATATCAATACATGTACCTTGGGTGGCCCTCTATTATGGTAGATTAAATCATTTTGTTATAAAAGAGGAACACTACTAATTCACAGACATATCTTATAACCAGAGTTGATGAATCCATAACCTGGGTACTATTAAACTTATCATCTAAGCACAGAGTTGAGAGGTACCGGTAAACAAATCAAAGGTTATTTATTTTTCCACTATGATGTTTATGTAACTTCGCATGCACTTACTAGTGGGGTTACATTACAGATCTTGACACGCCGAAAAAAACTTATATTCTCGGTCACAATGGAGAGTCGAGACCGAAACGTGGCACGTGCCAAGATTTGCTTCCTGAAACCCCACTACGAAGCACAACCGCGCCCTCAGTGGTGAACTTAAGAGAGTGTATACTGATTCATAATAGTATGACATAGTGGCTGTGAAAAGTGAACATGGCAACTACTAGTATTGCAAGGCTCTGCCGAAACAGTGGATCTATTATATCAGTCAGGTTACTTGTGATATTACACGTTTTTCAGATGATGTTCATTAATTTTATTGTCCAAAACTACATCACTGGTTTAAAATCCAGTCAAAATTTCACTGGACCAAACCCTGTATCAATTTTGTGTGAAAGTGAAGTCATGTAATAAAGTGGTTTCTTTCCTTTCATTCTCTTCTTTTTGGATAAGTGACAGATGGGTTATGCAAACATGCATCGGTTCCCTAAACGAAGGCAACAAGGCTACAGCGCCCCCGCACTAACATCTTGGAATATCTTTTGTTTCTTTATGGAGTTGGATGTGCTGTCAAAACAACTGACATCACTACTTATATGGGGGCCAGATATTTTTTTTCTTTTTAACTAAGTAGGTTATGTCCTTGTTTGTCACTCATTTATTTTGTGTCCTTGGATTTGTGAATTTCCTTTTGACTACAGATTTACTGTTATTAGGTATCATTACGTTATGTTATTTCCACTCAACAGAATTTTATAATTTTAATAGTTCATACTTTTAACCTCAGATTTCTTATACTGGTACTTTCTGTCCTCAACATGCGTGTATCACTAATATGAATTCCGTACATTTTTATAAACATTTGTTGTGTATTATTTTCGTGGTAATAATTATAACATCTTTATTGTAAGTATATCCACTTTGGTATATTGATGTGAAGGTGAAATAAAGTAGAAATACACTGTAAGTGAAGATATTAATATTAGTTAGGTAAAAGTAAAAACAATTATAAAAAATGTACATATATCTATATAATGAATGTGTACCCAATGCAGGGATTGAAAATAAGGCCTGTCCACCTGTCTGGGACATGAAGTATTTAGCCGAGACACATAAATGTACAATTAATATTTTGTTATCCTTGCTTCCCAAAATGAATATTATTTTTTGTTTAATTGTTGTCTTGGGGAATTTTAAGTTTTAAGAAGATATTTCAGTCATGGTTATGAAGTTTGCATGCAAGCCATAAATGTGCCTCGTTTTTGATGTCTTGACTTTTGAAAATAGGACATTAGTAATAGTATATTTTATTTGACACAAAATAATGCATGGAAAATACATCATCTATGGCCAATATACATTTCTGATATATTAACCAACATTGTTATATCTGCCCCTTTCAATTGGTAGCCTGTATGAAATAATTCTTAATTAGGTTTAATCTTTCATGTGGGTTAGTAATTATATCCAAAGAAGAAGTCTGTTTTGAAGTGACTAGTTTAGATCTCGCTATATTTATTTACCCCATGCAAATGGCCATAAATTATGACTAATCTAGGTCAGTATTCCCTTTTGAACTGTAGTAAACATCTTTCTAAGGTTACAATAATCTTATATAAAGGCCTACTACTAAATGTGTCATTGCCGTATTTTTATGGGTCATTGTTCTGCAAGGTTGTTGGTTTTTTTTCAAAATATACTTGTTGATATTGCGTCTATAAAGTGGTACTTTAAAATTTATAGACTGGCCACCAAACCCAGTCCAGGCCTTGGATAAACCAATCAGAGTTGTATTCTGGTGAAGTCCTCTTCTGACTTGGTTGTTTAGTGAACTGTACTGTGATCATGGACTGAATGTACCAGTAGTAATTCTGGTGAAGTCCTCTTCTGACTTGGTTGTTTAGTGAACTGTACTGTGATCATGGACTGAATGTACCAGTAGTAATTCTTTTCATCTAGGGATGTCTTGATGTCTATTAATCAGACATTGCAGTTCCTCATTGTATTTTTTTTTAGTGTGTTTTGACACTCCAGTTCTGAATGAATCTTCACAAGGTCATCTGTAGGTAACTGTAGGATGATGGCATATATATGTAGACTTCTCACAACTTCTCAGTCTACCTGTCAGTTTAGACAGGCACTTTTCATTTTCTGGCTATATCCCTTCTTCAAAACACTCATACTATACACAACTCTATTGAATTGTGACCCAATGTATTAAATGTATCCTGTTAAAAAAAAAAATATTTAAATTGTTATTCTTTTAATTTGTGCAAAAGATAATTCTGACACACCAACATGAGTTTATTGGTTTTCCATAAAATTACTTTTACTGATGCAACATTGATGAATATTGATATAGTCAAGTTGAGTATTAAATGTTTTCCATTCTGTTTTGTTGACAGTCTTGCACCAAGTTCAATGCTTAATCCACATAAAAGTGTCTTAGGATTGGGTAACTATGATGTTAATGTTATCATGGCTGCTCTGCAACTTAGAAATTGTGAAGCTGTTTGGTGGGACAAGAGAAAGTAAGTAAACCCATCATAGAACTGTTGTTTTCTGGCTGCATGTTAAAATGAAAAAAAAAAATGATCAGTGTTCCACATCACATGATTTTTAGAATACAAAAAAAAGCTAAAAATCATGAGACAAACTGATAATATGGTATGATTCATCGGCATTGTCAATACTGTAATTGTCAGCACAGTATATATATATTATTATT